TGCACAACACTGCATGTGGCTTAGTGCATGGATTTTGCCAAAGGTATCAAGGAGACACCCAGAAAACTGGGTTCTAGCTGAGAGAGAGACGAGCTGTGAAGAGACCTGGTGTGATACAGATGTGTAATTTCTTTAGCATGGGTAACTATACATTTTTCCCTCTCTATATTTATACAGTACCTCAACACAGTGGTTTTCTTTTTCATGCCATGTGCTCCTAGGCAGTACTGAAACAACTGCAGGAAATATCCACCAGGCTTTCGTCTCAAAGACTTTCTGCAAAGAAAATCTAAAGAACCTACAGTTTAGTTCTGCTTCTAAACCAAGAGAACCTTAAACATTCAGGGTAACTCTTCTTGAATTTTAGCCTCTGAAAAGAGGTTTAAAACATGCCTATTATACATCACAGATGTTAAGGGATATTAAAATACGTGCACAGACACTGCCTTGGTCTTTAAACGACACAGGTTTCTCGCCCTCCTACAAGAGGAAGGCTGAGTTTGCCTAACAGCAGCGCACCGCTGGGATTTTGAGTCACCATCCTCTTTGTTTTATCCACGGTGCCACTTCTCACCTTGGTACAGATTCTTGATTTGCTGTCAGTGAGTGATGTAGTGGAGTGCCAGTCAAAACCTGCCACTCCAGATTAACTGATCATCAAGCTAAAATGCAGCTTTGAATCCACCGCAGCTCAAAAAGGCCTTAAATGATTACTCATGGCTTTATGAATTTGGCTATGACTAAAGCTCCTCCAAGCCCCAGCTGTAATGAAATTGCCGTGTGACAACAGGAGCAACAACCGCAGCTCCAGCCACCTCCTCCCCTGCAAGGAGGGAGGTAACAGGAACCCAAAACCATCCCCACTGGCAAAGAGCCCCGAACAATGAGCAAGAGCACCCCTGAAAGCTGCCGGTGCATCTCCCCAGCCTGCCTTTTGGATGTTCAGCATCGCTGCAGGACCCAAGCTTCCAGGCAGCCGATGCCCAGAGAACAGAGCCTTTGGGGCACCTCACCCTCTGGCCTGTGCATGCAGGAGCCGCACATCCCCCCCAAAAAACACCCCTATACAACCCTGCCAAAAAAAATCCACGTTTTTTTAGGTATCCAATTAACCACACTCGTAACCTCCTCGGTGAAGAAGTTTGGGGTCTGTGCAGCTCCTGTGAAACAGGCTGGAAATTTCTTTCTGCAACCCAAGTGCTGACTTAAGCCCTTGTATTTCGAGTGCTGCTCGTCATTAAGGAAAAATGACTTTTACAGTTGCCTTTGCACTGCAAATAATCTCATTTAGGCAATGAAACGGCCCCATTCAGTGTTTCTGCCTGCATTTTGTCAACTGCATATGTTCCATTTAATATTTACAGACTGGGGCACTAGTCTGGCTTACATACTAATTCTTTTTTTTTTTCTTCTTCTTTTAATATTTATAGCTCTTAGACTCTCAGCGAGGGTTCTGTTTGGTAAGAATAATATTGTTCTGTGGTTGATAGCGCCATGGAAATTTCACAGAGGCAAATTTCAATTTTGTAAGATAAAAATATATAGATACCTGCAACAGACTGTTATGATTTCAAAATAAACTCTTCATTGCTGACCATGTATGTACTGGAAAAAAAAAATCTTATTATGCCTTTACATGTAGCTCCAGACCAAAGGCACAGTGCTGAAACATCCAGTTTGTGACAACACACACAGAGCAAAAAGAACTGCCAAAGAAATGTTCTATCACTTCTTCTTTTCAATCACCACTGGTACAAAAAGCAGAAACCCAGCTGCAAAAAGACCCTAGGAAAGAGGGAGCAAAGCCCACAAAATCCAAGAGGAGTCTTCGCTAAGATCTCTTCCCACTGGAAAATCCTTTTCTTCTTTGCACGCCGTGATTTTAAGTCTTTTAGGCTCTCTGTGTGAAACGCTGTGTGCTTATAAAAAAAGGCTTAAGAGGCTTAAGTTTAAAGGCAGTCTTGGGAGCTGAAAGTACCTGGCAGATACACTGTCAGTGTAAATTTTTCTAGTTCCAGTGACTTCAGAGACTGCCTTCAAATGACACCAGCTGAGAGCCAGGACCAGAGAGCACATCCCTGGCCTATCATTTTAGGCTTTGCTGTAGATGCACGAGTTTTCAGGCACTCCCTCCTGGGTAAGAAGATAACTACCTGTATTTGTGATGTAAGGACAATTTCCCAGAGGACACCAAATGATAGTTATAATTCCTCTGCAAAATACCACACCGACGAGGCAGGGCTTACTGGGGATGTGTCGTTCCTACACAGGGCTTCCCGCTCACTGGACACCACCACACTTTCTGCTCACCAGTTTTTTTCTTGTCTCCTCCATTACGACTCCAGGGACTTGAGATAATTCGCTCCGACAGTGAGGCAGAGGAAGCAGAGGAACTGCATTTCAGCACTGACCTGACATTTCACAAAGCACTGAAGACGGCAGCACGGCAGCTGGGAGAGCAATTCCTGCACCTCTGGAAAAGCAGCCCCCATAATTTGTAAAGTCAGTGGGAGCGAGCTGCTAGGAGCGAGGATGATTAGCAGGAAAAAGCCAAAGGTAGAGTAGCTCTGCAAGCCACACAGCAACCATTCCTCCTCACGGGAGGAGTGCTCCGAGCTCTGCTCCCAAAAAACAAAGGCTTCCAAATGCAACCTAAACCTTCCCACCACCCCTGCTATAACCCAAACCCACCTTCTTAAGGATAATAAAACATTTCTCACAGCAGAGCTGCTGTTCTGCAAGGGACAGAATTAACAATGCAGGAATTCACTGATTTTGTGCTCTCTCCCCCTAGGGCTCCCAGATTGCTCTTACATCCCACCCACGGGCTCCAGTGCCCCGTTCCAACCTCTCATCCCAACTCCTTTGGCTGGGCATGGCACAGCCTGGAGCCGTGCAAGGGCTGGCAGGCCAACAGGACATGTGCTGGGTGACTGGCTGGCAGGATGGACAGGGCTGATTTAGCTTTATTTTCCTCAGGAAGGCATTCATTTGGGTCTCTTTTCTGCCCACCTGCCAACACCACGAACTTAGGTCCTTCTCCTCAAGCACAGATGGGTGTTAAACTCCTGGCTTTGCCACCTCGGTACAAAGAAGCCAGGGTGGCACCAGCACGCCAGCTCCAAGCACAGACATTGACCCCGTGGCCTGACACCAGGGCTGCCACTTTGTTCCTCCCCCAAAAGGGAGATGATGTCTCCTGCTGTCTCACCTTCATGCTGCAGGGATGGAGAACCAACACAGATCCTGCCAGGGGGATACGGAGAGAAAAAGCTTTTTTCAAGATTAAATGTCCTCGCAAGGTGGAAATCAGCAGCTGCCAAGAGCCATCCCATTACCCAGGGGGAGGAACATGGGAACCTGCCACCACGTCCTTCTCCACACCCAGCAGAGGTGACCTTGACCAGTTGGTGGCTCAGCTCCCCCGTGAAGGGGGTGCTGCCAGCTCTCCTGGGCACCTTTGCTGCCACTTGTCTTGGGCTTTATCTGGTCCTCAGGTATTTCTCTTGAAAAAATCCTGCATGGAACATTCTCCTTGGCACCGCTGCTGCTGGTCTTTCAGTCAGTGGCTATGCCTGCTCTGCTGGGCTTGGTCCCAATATCACAGCCTTCAGTGATGCCCCAAAGCTTACCCAGCCCTTCTCTGCTGGCAGCTGGTGCTGGCCACGCTCAGACAAGAAGCCCTCAGGGGTGACTCACCCCAGCCTCTCCACATGAAGCGTGACAGGCGGAGCAGAAGGCATTTTAAACACTCTGGGGGCAAAAATAAAGTGCTGGCACCAGCCCCAATGAAAGGCCCAGCATTCATTTGTAACCCTGGAGGGCGAAGGGGTGATGCAAGCAGAGTAAGCAGGAAAAAGTGACCCTGAAAGAGACCTCTGCTACCCTGAACATGGGGAAGAGCAAGTCATAGCTTGCAGTCTCACCGGCTCGCACACAAGGTGCATCGAGCATGCAAAGTGTCATCCTCTGGCTTTGGGAAGAGCCAGTTCCCATATGCCTCTTCCTCCGAGCAGACCCACACCAGGCGGCCATCTCAGGAGGGATATTGCAGCTGAAATGGGTCAGGAGTGGCAAATTTGCAAGCTCTAGAAATCAGGAGGACACCTCAGTTCAAGGCTGGGAGTGCCAGGAGCTGCCCAGCCAGCACGACGGTCCCATCCAGGCCGAGCTGCCCTGAGGACACCCCAAGACCACCCAAACACACGGGAAATTGGCCCGAAACAGCCAATTCCTCCTCGCTCAGGGCCTCAGCACTTCCATCGCCCCCAGCCCAAACAGGGCAGCCACGTGGCAGATCCTTATCACAACGTGCTATGCCCTGCAGGGCCTTACAAGCAGGGCTGGCTCGGCCTAATCACATTAACAGCATCACTTCTGCTCAGAGGACACAGGCTGGCGAGGGTGCCTGCTGCCCCTGACTGTTCTCCAGCACAGAGCTGCATTTTTCAGCCTGATCTCTGGGAAGATTCCCTGCCTTCAGGATAGCTCTGAGCTGCGGTCTAAGCTCACACACCCCCAGAGAGTTCACCCTACAGGAAGATCGTCCTGGTGGGCCCCCCCTTTGCAGAAGAGGTGCTGTTCACATGTCTTAAAGGCTGGGAGACTGCAAGCACCGCCAGCGCTGCAGCCTCTAAAGACCAGGGCTCCCAAGAGCCCATCCGGCCTGGTGGAGGCTTGGAGAAGCCACCCTCCCCAAAATGTTTGGAGTATTTTAAAAACTGGCACCTGGGGTACTTTTCTAGCACTGGTTTTAAAGTTCAGGAGTACCCGTGTGCAAACTGCTTTTTTGTCTTTGCTTTTTTACAAAACACGCTGGTGTTGTTACCGCTCTGCAGGTGTAAAATTGGTTTTTCCTCATTCCAGAGGATTTTTCTCAATAATTCACACCCAGCAAGTTTACTCCTGAACGCCAGGCAGCCAGCATTAACAGTCAGGTGGTCAAAAACCCAGACGAGAGCCTCGTATACACACTTCTCATCACTCCACACGGTACTTGCCTCTCACTACTCAACCTCCCGTTGTAACTCAACCTCTAATTGCTGTCTTTTTAGGGGAAATGTTGTTGGGCAAAGACTGTGGGTGGAAATCCCATCCTCTTCCTCCTCCTTTGAAGCTCTCAGGTATCCAGAACAAGCTGCTGGGAATGCAGAGCAAACAGATTTGTCTCAGAGAAAACGGGTTGCAGGGCACAGCACTGAAAGCCACCCTGCCACATCCCCACCTCAGTGCTTCTACTCACAATCATTCCAGTTTCTCTGGCTGGATTTAGCTGCTGATTCCAGCATCCATTTAGCAGCATCCCCTGCCCGTGCAGCACATCTCACCCAGAAATGGAGTCATTAGAGATAACGCTGGGTAGGGTTACCTGCCCTGAGGTTGGCTGCTGTATCCCATTACGAGAACCAACCTCCTACTGCCCGTAAAACTTGGTCCAGCTGGAGCTGAGGTGAGATTTTCCATGCCAGGTGTTCGTTCGTTACGAGACTTTCCCTTCCAATTCACAGAACCTGCAAACAAATAGGCCTTTCACAAAAGCAATTTGAATAAAGGTTTGACCTTTCAGCCATGAGTTTTCTGGCTTCGGTTCGCTCCAGCTACTGTCTTAATCACATCTTTCTCATTTCATGCTCTGCACGCTATGTGCCAGTTTCTACTTTTAAGGAAGAAATGCTGGCAGCTGGCGTTGGCTAATCGATGTGTGGGGGAAAATAGTCATTAGGGAAAGCCTACAGAACCGGGTATTTTTAAAACTGAACTTTGGTGTTGTGGGAAAACACATGCCCCACGCAGCGTCACCTACACTCAATAATGAAATAGATCCATCCCGATACGACGCATGCTGCCTGTTGTACACCGATTTTAGCAACCATATGTCCCGAAATACCCACGCATACCAAAACACCTTAAACTTCTGGGGAAAGATCCTCTGATGGTGTTAACGGCCCCAGCTCCATTCACCGGCGGGGAGCTCCCTCGTTGATGCCTGCCGAGGATCTGCTCCAGCGCCTGCCTGATGTCTCCTTGGCTGCTGCTGGGCTCCAGGATCAGGCAGGTCGCTGGTGTGAATCAGTGCCTCCTACAAGAAGCTGTGTGGGAGGGAAAATAAAAATTGTCGGAGTAGGCATCAGCAAGGCCATCAATACTGAGCATCCTGGAGGAGCTCCAGTGAAAAAAAAGCAGGGAATGACTTCACAGCAGAAGGATTCGTCAAGGATGACAAAATAATTTGGACTTTTATAGAAGGCTGGTTGTGGGAACAGAGAGACAACACTCGCTGGCTGCCGGGCTCGGGCCAAAGATGAGTCCCGAGGTGGCTGCTGTGCAGGGGCAGGGGGAGCCGTGCCTGCAGCAGCGTGAGTCACCCCAGTGAGGGATGCTGGCCCCGTTCAGCCAGTAAAAACCCAAGCCAAGGCACAAGCACCCCTAAGGAGAGCCTGGGTGGGCTTTGGGTGGATCTTTATTTCAATTGCACATCTCACCTGAAGTTCCTGGGGGATTTTGCTCACGCACGACCTTGAAGGGTGCTGTGGATTGCAAGTGTTGTCACCTTCACCAGTTCAGGCAGGGTCACTGCAGAACAGGAGGAGAGGAATGGGATTCGCACACGTGCGAGCTTTGCAACAGGCAGTCAAGGATCCCTGCTCTCCCACCTGCGCCAATTGCCAGAGCTGCAGCAGCACGATTTAGGGAAAACCACGAAAATCCCCTCCTGCAGTTTGCCAGGAGAGCAGGGGGGTGCTGAGAGCACATTGGCTCTCGAGCAGGGGAAAATCAGCAACATGGAGGGACGTTTCCTATTGCAAAAAACGGGGCAACTTGCAAGCAGTCCTGCCCAGAGCACGCACACAGCACAGACAACTGAGGGGGGAGTTTCAAGGAGAATATAACCTCGGGTGTTGGTTTTTTTTATATATATTTTTTTGCCTGTGAGCTGTACCTTCAGTGCTTACGGTTAAGTCTGCTTTTGAAAGCCGAACCCAAGCAGCCCAGCTGCCTGCTGAGCTAATGGTAGTGGAGCACATCTGAGCACAAAGAGGTCCAGCATCAACTGGTTCCTCGCCTCAAGGGGAAGCGGTTATTTCCTGCCGTAAATAATGCAGCAGAGGAAAAAAAGAAAGAGAAAACAATGGGGTGGGTCACAGAAACAAAGCACACGGAGAGAAACCAACGGGGGCCACGGCACAGGTGACAATTTGTGCTTCACCAAGAGCCAAAACTGAGTCTGCTTCAAAACTGTTCCAACTATGAGCCAGGCAGAGGGGAAAGGACCCTTCAAATGAAGTGACCAATTCCCCAGAGGCTGTTTCACAGTTTGGGAAGAGCTGCACAAAACGGGACATTTTGGTGAGGGTCAACAAAACCTGGCCAGGATCACTGGGACCAGACAGGTCTAAGGGCAGAAACATCTGCATGGGAGCTCTCATCCTTTTCTAAACATGCGGATGGGGCAGGAGGAGGGTTAGATCATTTCAAAAGCATTGGGTTCTTGGATAAATAGCATGGGTTGATCCGTCTTTGACCCCAGAAGGGATGAAAAATACCCAGAGCTAAAGGCCCTTCTGTATGTAACTGCTACACCTGTCTGAACTTAAAAGAACTTTCACTTGTCTTCTAGGAAGGAGCCCCAAGCAAACCATTTCTAGTTTTACTCACAGAGGCTTCAGGTTTCTTCTCTCCCTCACTTTGCACCCAGTGTGGGTGCTCTGTCTGTGAAGTCGGTGACCTGGGAGTGCTTCGTTGCTCCAAAGACACACTACAAACATTTCCAACCATGCACGGAGGTTTCTTTGCTGCTGTGGCCAACTATTTCCAAACCACAGCCCAGGATATCAGATCATCAACCACCTAAATCAACTGCTGAACCGAGAGTTAACCCCTGGGTATCCCATTTTCCTTGTGGGAATTTCACCCTTCCTCAGAACAGATCCTCTTAATCACCTGTGATGCCAATCAGCTTGGACACAGGAACCAGTCTTGTACTCCAGAGAAGAAACCAGATACAGTTAAGAAAAAAAAAAAATCCTCTCCTCCAGCAAGACCTGCATCAAATTTATCACCTCCCAGGATGTTTATTCCTATGGGCTCTGCCTTTGCCCTTTCTTCCATCTCAGCTAGAGACCTGCCTCTATTTTTGGCAGCCTTATTGCCATCAGCTGCACGCCGTACCTGGCAGCGAGCGCTGCAGAGAGCTGCGGGTGCTCCTGGCTGGGAGAAGCACAAACTTGCCAAAAGGCTGTGTGTTTCAGCAGCACAGAGCTCACCACATCTCAGAGAGCCAGCTTTGTGGCTGTGAGTCACCATCCCAACATCTCAGCTGCATCCAGCCTGCTCTGCCTACGTCGCTCTTTAAAGCCAGGGAGTTTCATGCTCTCCTCTGATGGTTCTCTACCTCCACGCTCTTCCAGCAACCGCCTGCTCCGCTTCGTCATCTTCTTTCCTAAAGGGATGAAGAGAAACACATCCTAGGATTCTTGCTGCACCAGAAGTTTCTGATAAGGAAGCTGGGAAGCTGAAGGCAGTGACTGAGCAGCCCCAAGAGCTGGCAGGAGCTGAAGCAGAAGCCCGACCCCTCTGGGGATGCCTCGTCCCCCTCTGGCACCCAGTGCCTAGGGAAGCAGCTCAGTGCCCCCATGGTGGGACCCCAGATGAACTCCCTGCACGGACACCCACCTCCCAAACTGAGATTGCCTCATTTTGCGGTTATTTAAATCCATCAGCAGCCAATAGCTCTTCCAGAAGAACTCTCTATATCCCTTGAACATTTCATAGACCTCATTCAAAAAGTGGCAGCTCAGTTTTTGTCCAGGCCCCAAGGGGAGCATCCCTCACGGCCCCAGAGAATGGGGTCCAGATGAGTACCTCGTATTTTTTATGACGGGGGAAGGCCACGTCTGGCTCGGGGGCTGACCCAGGGTCAGCTTTTCTCTGTTCCATCAAAACTGTTTTGTTTTTTTGTTTTTTGTTTTTTTTTTTGCAAGATACCTGCTGGGTAGCAGCAGGGCTCTCCTAAATCACAGGAGCTTTGCATTTTGCTCTGAGCTTTCTCAGCAAAAACTGCGTGGGTTTGGACATATTTTTTTATTTCTTATTTTTAAAATTCTGAACAAGAAACCAGGTGGCTTCAGAGCTAATCCCAAACAGACCAATTCATCACCGAACCCAATCCAGCTACCGAAGGTGTTCAGATGCAGAAGGCTGACTTGAACTCCTCCAGCTCTCCTTCTGGGAGGTGCTGGATCCCCTCACACGCCAGATCCTCTTCTTGATTCATTTTTTACCCTAGCTCTAATAACCTGAGCAGCTGGGGGAGCAGCTCGAGGCCTGTTCCCATGTTTTGTGTGCCCCCTACCACACATACAAGTAGGGCACCCCTCCCATAAAAGCAGCACCAGTTCCTTTGCCCAAACGTTGCCACTTTCTGCACAATCCTTCTTCTTTTCTCTCTGTGCTTCCTTGAACACGTCCACAGCGAAGAACTGGTGGCACTGAAAAAAAAAACCCTCAGTGGACAAGCCAGAGGGTGGAAAAGAAGCACAAAAGCTTGTCTTCCTGGCAGATGGAGGAAAGCAGCAAAGCAGCAGCTGAGCCAGGAGATGGGAGGCCTCAGAGAGAGACCTGAAGTGGCTGTGCGTGGGTTTGCTGCTCTGTTGCTGACTGACATCAGGCTCTTTGGGCTCGCAGAGACCTGCTTCGTTTTCAAGCGAAACCTCCTCCAGGGATCTCATTAGCACCAGCATGGAAGACAGAAAGGAACTGGAGGCTGGTGGAGGGGTGATGCTGGGGAGGGAAACAGGCCAGAAGCACGGCCCAGCTGCATTCAGACAGGCAGGGGAAGGAGCCTGGCAGCACGGTGCCCTCGCCACCCCGTGCTGGGGCTGCCTCCTTCCCTTCTCTGCAGGGCCAGCATCCAGCAGGGCTGCTGCCCTAAAGCTCAGCCCGAGGCACCCACTCACCTGCTTCCTCCTGCCAAATCCCTCCTCCTCCTCCTCTCTTTGCTCTCCCCCTTCCCAGGGCGTGCTCTCCTCCTCTTCCTCCTCTCTTCCACCACTGCTGGACATCATGTTGTTTGTGCGAAGCAGCAGCTCTGGCCATGGTGTGTACTGCACCTACATAGGGCAAAGACAACAAGGCACCTGGGGCTGTGTCTGCAGCCATGGGAGACCCGCCGGGGTTGTTACACAGCTCTGCAATGGCAAGGACGGGTGTGACAAGGATCCCTGTCCCGACAGCCCACCTTCCCTGCAAGGAGGGGGTGAAGTACCCTGTGAAACAGCAGCTTCGTGGATCCAGAACAGCAATCGTAGCACAACTGTGCCAGAAGATCCCCTTCTAATCCACCTGAGAAAAGTCACAAAAGCAACACACACAGAAAAAAAAAAACACAAATAACCCATAAAAACAAAAGGAAAAATTAAATCCAGAGAAGTTAATTCCATTCGACACCTTAGTTATAACTGCAAATCAGCTCAAGAAATTGAAACGTATACTTAAGTTAAGCCCCCTCTGCTATTACTTAGCAGCTCTGATATTTATCATCACAGTCTCTTCCAGGCAGCCCCATAAAATACCCATCAGGACCGTGCTTCTCTCAAGTGAATCCTGCTCAGAGCACCTGGCAAAGGGGAGGGATGCATTCAGCTCCCCACGTCTTGAAGGCACTGAGAAGATGTTTATCGAGGCAATGAGTAATGCCAACTGCTTGGCTTTCGGCAGGCTCGGAAATACATGCAGCAGGTTCCAGCACAGGTTGGTAAAAAATTAATTAGCAGCAAGTCAGAAAAGGAGCAATGGGTGTTATTCTCTGAGCAGCAGTCTTATTTAACTTAATAAAAGGGATTGAACTGTAGGATCCCAGTGAAACACCTCCTCACGTTGTTTCTCCAGAAATGGAGACATTGGCTTCACGGAATTAATGACCAGGTATTCTAAACTGAGATGTGTTTAGGCTCCTAACACCACAATTAGGTGTCTGGAAAGACTGTCAGACTCCCCTAAAAATTTATCTTGCATCATTACCATTAAAAATCAATGGGATTTTGCAGCCTGCTTTACCCAGCAAATTCAGCTCTGCTTCTTTAAGCACCTAAAACAAAAAAAAGTCGTAAAACACAGTAATTTTATTCCAGATTTTAATGAAAACCTAACAACAATGGTTTTAAGAAGACAAAATTTTGACAGTTCTTTGCTCTGCAAGCTCTCCAAGCTGAGAAGCAAAGCAAAAGCTACATCAAGGCAGCAGGCTTGGGCACCCCAACAAAGACTACTATAAAACTATCTTCTCCCACCTAAGTCTCTTTTGGAGCCTGAGACATCATTCAAGAACAGAGCATTTACACAACTAATTGCAGATGGTGAAGCGTGGCTTTAATCACTGGTAACCGGTCCCCAGAGGCAGCAGAAACTCTGCTTGCTCCTGACTGACCGCTTCAAAGGGCTCCCACGTGCTGAGCAGAGGGGGCTGTGTGCCAGCAGCACCCTCCAGCAAGGGAGCCCAGACCCACACCCTTCACCTGGTTCTTCTCCTTGCTTCTTCTCCTTGGGATTCATCCCCGTTTCCACGAGCACAAAGCAAAGAATGAGGCCTGCCAAATCCGTAGCGATGCATCACGCCCGGAGCTCTGTAAACTCCCCAGATGGCGCTGACGAAAACCAACTGCTGGGAATTAGTCCTTCAAGTCACCTCTTCGTGCAGGGCAAGCCATGGAGTCACCGCAAGCCCAGCTGGGAAACCAGCACGCTGGGCCAGCTCTCGCTGCAGCCAGAGATGATCTTGCCAACTAAAATCAGAGCAGCAACAGACAGCGTTGGAAGCAGCAAATCTCTGCTGCAACCAAGGAGTGCTGGCTGAGCCCTAAAGGACAGGAACCTCCCCTGTGGTTCAGACATCATACAGAACATTTGCCCTCACCCATCAGCCACCAGGAAAGGAATCTCAAGGTCTAAAAAGATAACAGAGTGCTCTCGAGCACTGCACAGTGGTTTCCCCTCTGTGAAAGCTCGAGGGTCACACCCCGTGGCAGCAGAAAGCAGCAGGGGCTCACGGGCAGGGAGAGAGCCCTACAGGAACAGCCGAGTGACCCACGGTCCTGGGTGTGCTGCGGTGTGATTGCTGCTTCTCCTGGATACTCTGCATCTCGCAGCAAGCAGACACCAGCACAGCTGGCATCGCTTCTGCAGCTTCCTTACAAACACGTCTGCAGAGCCCCTGCTTACGGATCTATTTCGGGTTGCTCTTAAACCAGCTCATACAGATAGGGGGAAAAAAAAAGCCACTCTGCTCAGCTGGTGCATCTGAAGTGTTAGAAAAATCTCTAAGGTGATAAAGCTTCGCTTTTTTTTTTTATCCCCTCCTGTAAAAAAATAACCTAACCTACTCTGTAGCTGTATTTCCTCTTATTCAGTTACACTCGACAGCACGTGGACGTCCTTTCACGCCTGTGCAGGGGCTGAATTTTGGCTGGGCTGCTGTTCAGCTGGGGCAGGGAGATCAGTTTAGAAGTTTAGGCCAGGTTAGAAGCCTGGTAGGTAGAAAAGCTCCGGTCTGACGCTCCAGATGCAGATGCTACCACCCTTCTCAGTAAAAAGCCAAGCTCTGGTGACACACAAAGCAGCATCTTGATCACTTCTCATGCAGCACATCAGGGGCTGTGTTCTGTCCGGGTCTGTTTCAGGAGGAGCTGCAGGACATCAGTCTGAGAGTCCAGGTGTTCTCTTCGTATCCTCCAACATGGCTTCTCCCTCAGCTGGCTTTGAAAAACAAGCTGTAGTGGGGTAGTTTGGAAAGATCTTACATCCGTCTCTGTTCAGGACCACCTGGGCCATCTGCAGGCACCGCAGTGCGTATTTGCTCCCGCCCCGGTTTGCGAGCTCCGAAACCTTCTGTGAAAGGCATCGCGACGCAGCCTCACAGGTGGGATCAGCTCTGCCTGGCCCGTTTTTGCAATACGTTTCGTAGAAGGCATCGAGAGATTTCCTGATGCTTGCATCTTCTGTATTTTCACGTTCATACGTACTTGAGAGAGAAGCATCGTTCGGTTCGGTGTGCTCACACAGCCCAGCTTCTGGATAACATCTCACATTTCCCTTCTCAGAGGCTCCAGCAGGAACTGCAGAGGGTGGATTGCTTTCTCCTGCAAGCACAAGATCAATGAAACTCATTAGTCACCAGGTCATCCCTGTAGCAAAATCTTTTTTTGTCCCCCCTCACTGCAGTCTGGCAACCAAGCTCCGTGCAGGAGCGAGCTAAGCGCTGCTTTAACGCGCTGTTCTGCCAGCGAGGCTCGCAGCACAGATTCACAGAGATTAATCTTGTATTTGGGCATCTCACAGGTGTCCCAGTTTTGTCCCTCTGCAGTGACTGAATCTACTCCACGGTACACGCCTCCGGGCTCCTCTCACTCACACTTCCAAAAAGAGGTGGAAATTGCTATCTGCTGCTGCCGGAGCCAGCAGCCGACCTACACTTAAAGCCCAGTTTGCAGCTGAAACCGTTCTGCCCGTTTCTTTTTCCTTCCTCCACCAGTCGGTCCACTCCTTCCCTTTCCGCAGTCCTCAATTTCATCGCTGCAGCACAACCAGCAGGCTTGTCCCCTGGTTTTCAGCCAGACCTAAAGCTTCCTTGGCATTGTTACAGCAAGTGCACGGGGTTTGGGGAGGGGGCCTGCAAGAGGGAACCTCGTGCTGCCCCGTGGAGCCCCACTTTCACTGCCCAGCTGCAGTGCACCACTCCCCCCATGTCCTGCAGGGATTTTTACAGGAAATCTTCATCTAAGAGCCAAGGACTTGCTCAGCCTTTCTCCTTTGCTCTGATTGTTTTGCTCCAGTGTAATGAAGGGGGCTGTAGCTATGCCCGATTAACACACCAGCAGCACCAAGACACTTGGCAAAGGCACGAGCAGGGTGAGCAGCAGGCCACATACATCTTATCCTACAAAAAGGAGGTACAAAAAGGGACCTAGAATCAGGCTCTGGTACCCAGGGAGCCCCCCTGACTGCAACCTCATCTCCCAGCCTGCCTCGCCAGCCCGTTTGCCAAGCACCTGAGTCACCGGCAGGAAAATTTTCCAGGGCTCAGCCAGAGGTTGCAGAGCTGTCAGCTGCAAGTTGCATAAGCAGGATGCAGGGCATCAGGCAGGCAGCTCGGCCTCTCCTCATTCTGTAAAACACGAGGCACCTTTTTGCCAACTAGCAAGAAGGCACTTGATTATATTATGAGGTGAGTTTTCTTTCATTTACTGATTTAAGTTTACACGTGTCAATTTTTCCCATCAAAGCCTTCTTAAAGCGAGACGAGAAGGCTTCGAAGCAGAGTTCCCAGAACTAACCCCATGAAGCTGCAGGGTCCAGAAAGAGCTTCTCACCTGGGACACACGTACAGCACAGGAGCATGTCATGATGCCCTTTCTTGAGGGTACCCTCAACCCTACAGGAAAGCCAGGATTCCCCGATAACACATAGCAGCGTTACTTAGAAGTTTGCACCTCCCTGGCCAGCTCTCAGCAGGAAAAATGTCCTTCACAGACCATTTATCCTTCCATGGAGAGCTTTATAGCACAGCTGTCACGCGCCTTTGTGTTGGCTTGACCCAACACGTGCAGAAATTAATGGAGTTTCACCACCAGACAACCTGGCCCCAATTATTTTTAGCAGTTTTTACTCATTTCTATTACCAAGCAGGTATTAAAAAAATGAAAAAAAAAATGAAAACCCCAAACAAATAATTACTCACGTCTTGATTTCACCTCTCACATGATGGATAATCATCACTAGGGCCGTGTATTGTTCCATTTGCACCCCCACTCCCCGCTAATTGAAGACCAGCATTTGCAGCTTATTAGCACGAGACCTGGGGGCCAATAACGGGATATTCTTTGTGTTTATAAAGCTGCTGATGAAAATTTAACGCCTCCATCTGGCACACGTGCATAACCCCTACCGCCCGAAGCACACAACCAGATCCTGGTTTGGACCTGGGCCACTTCCACTGGTGCGACAGCCTCCTGGGGACCCTGCGTGGGT